TTGCCTGAACCCAGGAGGCGGAGGTTGCGGTGAGCCGAGATCACGCCATTGCATTCCAGCCTGGGTAACAAGAGCGAAACTCCGACTCAAAAAAAAAAATAAATAAATAAAAATAAAAAATAAAAATAAAAATATAAAAAACTAGCAGGGCGTGGTGGTGTGCGCCTGTAGTCCCAGCTACTTGGGAGCCTGAGGCAGGAGAATCACTTGAACCTGGGAGACGGAGGTTGCAGTGGGCACTCCAACCTGGGCGACAGAGAGACTCCATCCCCCGCAAAAATGAAAAAAAAGGTTAAAAGCGCAATATATGGCCCAACTGTTGGGATGACACATATTTAGTTACAACAGTAATTCATAAAAACATTTTGAGGATACCACCTTTACAGAAGAGAAAGTACCCTCTTCAGGAGGAAAAGACTGGAGCGGTGGGAAGACCCCCAGGCGGATGGTCCTGTTTCACCTTTGCCTTCCCCCTTCCACCTCCCAAAAGGCAACATTCAGAATGCCACTATTTGGGGCACTGCTCCCTCTCATTTCTCCACCTTGCCAAAGTCTGAGATCATTCCAAAATTAGTGAAAAGAAAGCTATAAAGCAGTTAGTGATTTAAAAAAACTAGTGATTCCAGGAAGCCACAAACTTAAGTGTTTTCTGTTTTGTTAGGAGAGGAAATAAAGGCAAAATGGCGGCGAGGTAGAGCTGGGGCCAAGGAAGGAAGGGGGTGACCTCCGGGGTCAGGAGAGCGGGAGGCTGTGGCTCCTGTTTCCCCTTCCCTGGCTGGCAGTGTAGACCGTGCAGGGGGCAGCTCTCACGGTTGTTCACACACACAGGAGGATCCACTGTGTGTGTGTGATTTATGAGGAGGGCTTTACTGTTTTTCAGCACAGCTCAATGGATCCCACAAGACGCATCAATCTTGATATCACACTGTTCCGGGAGTTATCAATTCTCAGTAATGCACACTTCGTTAGCCCAGTGATCTCTCCTTTGCATTTCACTATATTTTAATCCCTTTCAAATGAGGCACAACTTTCTGGAGCAGTGTTTACCACTCTTTGGCATAGTTTCCTTTTCTCCTTTTTTTTTTTTTTTTTAAGAGACAGAGTCTTGCTCTGTCATCGGGGTGGGAGAGCAGCAGCACAATCACAGCTCACTGCAGGCTTGACTTCCTTGACCTGCTGGGCTCAAGTGATCCTCCTGCCTCAGCCTCCAGAGTAGCAGAACACACGTATGTGCCATCATGCCTGGCTAACTTAAAAAACTTTTCATGGAGACAATGTCTCGCTATGTTCCTCTGGCTAGTCTCAAACTCCTGGCCGCAAGCGATCTTCCCATCTCAGCCCCCTAGGCTGCTGAGATTACAGGCGTCAGTCGCCACGGTAGAGTTTACCTTTGCTGTTTCTCTCACCATAGGGATGGTGTTTTATGGCTGACCTATTAGAGAGAAACTTTGTCATGACACGACCTCTCTCTCTGACACACTTATTTTCCTAAACAGGTAAATGGATACAATTCTGTGGGGAAAAAAATCCACTGCACAGCAGAATAATAAGACCTTGCTAGGGACTTTTAAATATGAAAGCAAAATGCACGTGGAAATAATGTGTGAGTGGAGAGAAGAGCTCACATGCAGAAAAGACCATTTACTCCTTGGACAAGCCTTTAGGAGTGGCCCACATCCCTTCTTCTAGGACACAGGGCCCTCACGCATGAAGCGGGAGTGCCACCTCTGCTCTGTCAGAAATTTGGGAGAGGTGTGAATTCTCCCTCCTGCTGTATCATGAACAAAGGCAACTAAAGCCATCATCACCCTTTACGCTGCAACCACTTTGGGTAAGAAAATCACGCCTATAATCCCAGCACTTTGGGAGGGCGGATCACCTGAGGTCGGGAGTTTGAGACCAGCCTGACCAACACAGAGAAACCCTATCTCTACTAAAATTACAAAAATTAGCCGGGTGGTGGTGCACACATGTAATGCCAGCTACTTGGGAGGCTGAGGCAGGAGAATCGCTTGAACCTGGGAGGCGGAGGTTGCGGTGAGCTGAGATCACGCCATTGCACTCCAGGCTGGGCAACAACAGCGAAACTCTGTCTCAAAAAAATAAAAGAGAAAGAAAAAGAAAATCAGCTTATACCATAGAACTTATGAGAAAGAGATAACAATGGCCCTTAGTCTTATAGGGGTCAGGAGGAACCTGCCTAAATCTAACCTGAGTATCAACATTTTTAGCCTTTAAAACTATGTCACCCTTTAGAATCTAAATGACAGCTGGAAACACACACATACACACACATAGAGAAAAATGGAAGGAACCACATTAAAATATTAACAACAATTATATCTAAATGGTTGACTTATTTGGGTGATCTTTAGTTTCTTCTACATCCTTTTCTGAATTTTTAACATTATGCATGTATTACTTTTTAATTGGAAGAATGTACAGTTTAAAAATCTGTTAAAAGTAATTTGTTCTCTACAATAGGTTTTCCTCAATTTTTCTTTATACTCTCACACTCCATTTAGAACCTAGATTAGGTCTTGAAGCTAAGCCACCTGGGGGATTGAACTTCATCCAGATTTGCTGAATGTCTCTGGAACTTGGGTCACTAAACAGGATGGTAAATTGTTGCTGATGTTAAGTAGAAAAACAAGTTACCTGAGATATTCAAGAGGCTCTCACATTTAACAGCAAGAGGTTAAACTAGATAACCTAAGGTCTCTTTCTCGCCAGTTAAATAATAAATTAAGATATAATGTTTGAATCTGTAACAAGACCATTGTTACCATGCTGTTGTGTTAGTTCTCTTTGGCACAATAAAATTATACTTCAGTATTTAGCAAGCAGCTGTTTCAAGGGGTCCTTTTGATGTGACAATAATATGGGGTATAGGTCAGAACATGACAGGATGACATTCCAAACTCAAGATACATCTAGAGGGAATGCAACCAGCCCATTTTCTCTCTAATGTATTTCATAAAACAAAGTCTCATAGCTGTTTGTGAGAAATACCATCTGATTTCCTAATTTAAAAAAAAAAAAAAAAAGAGAGGGCCAAGGCCGGGCACGGTGGCTCATGCTTGTAGTCCCAGCACTTTGGGAGATTGAGGAGGGTGGATCACAAGGTCAGGAGTTCAAAACAAGCCTGGCCAACATGATGAAACCCCGTCTCTACTAAAAATACAAAAATTAGCAGGCTGTGGTGGCACATGCCTGTAATCCCAGCTACTCAGGAGGCTGAGGCAGGAGAATTGCCTGAACCCAGGAGGCGGAACCCTTGGACAAGCCTGGGAAAGAGGGAAACTCCGTCTCAAAAAAAAAGAGAGAGCCATTTCTTTTCTTTTTGTTTGACACTGAGTCTTGCTCTATTGCCCAGGCTGGAGTACAGTGACACAATCTTGACTCACTGCAAATTCTACCTCTCGAGTTCAAGCGATTCTCCTGCCTCAGCCTTGATCGGCTAATTTTTGAGATAGGGTTTCACCATATTGGCCAGGCTAGTCTTGAACTTCTGGGCTCAAGTGATCCACCTGCCTTCGGCTCCCAAAGTGATGGGATTATAGGCATGAGCCACCGCACCCTGCCAAAAAAAGAGAGCCATTTCTATACTCTTGTTTCATAATTTGCCAAGTAACTATTCTTAACTTAAATCAGAAAAGGGCATATTAAAGATGAAAAGATGTGTGTGTGTGTGTGTGTGCGTGTGTGTGTGTGTGTGTGTGTGTATAAAATCTTGTCCACTTGCCTCCATTGAAAAAGTATACTAAAAGGCTCTTAACACAGGGTCAAGAAATACCCAAAGAAATTTAGGGCGTAAGTGGTTTTTAAATCTCCACAGTAACAGATTACTCACCCAAACACCCAGCACTGTGTTCCTACGCGCTTGCACTGTGTGTCGGTGAGGTAAGCGTAGTACTGTCTGAAAGAACAAAGTTGGAATTCACTGAGAGCTGCTGGAAGATCAGCAAGTCAGGACATAATCAAATCACTCTGAGAGAGTGAATACAAAAAACGTCCCTCCTGTCCCATGTCAGGCTGCCTGGTCTAGCTCTGTTCAAGAGAAGAGGAAGCCAGTGTGTGCTGAAACATTCCTTTAAGAGATTCGGCATTGGGGTTAGGCTGGAGGGAGGGGAGTACCATTTAAGCAGCCAGATTACCGTCTGCTCTGAGTGCCAGGGTGTTTGCAACTAACTGATCACAACCATTTACAGATTTCTTTGTGCCTTCTCCACTCCCACTGCTTCACTTGACTAGCCTAAAAATAAAAAAATAAATAAAATAAAAACTAAAAAGAGCCAGATTATTGGAAAGGTAGTCTGGATTCAGTGGTAAGACTCCCACAGCCCTGCCCAAAGCAACCCCAGGTGGGTGTTTCCACGTCTAGCTCCATGGAGGTGACTCCAGAGAGTCAGCAGCACTGTCCACTAATTGTCTCTTCCGGTTCTCTCCAGGACAAAGCTTGCTGACTGCAACCAGGCAAAAAATACACAGATTTTTGGCTTTTGGAAACTGGAATGGGACTCTAGCTACATCTCACTGGCATTAAATGCCAATGACTTGGAATGTTACTGACAAGTTCAGAAAAAACAGGCAATGACATGGTGTTGAAAGGCTCAGAACAGCACCGTCCGGTAGAAATATAAGCCATAAATGCAATTTTAAATTTTCCAGCAGACATGTTAAAAAAAGTAAAAAGGAACAGATAAATCCATTTTACTGATATTTTAAATATTTAAACGAATATATGAAAACATTATAATAAGGTATTTTATATTCTGTTTTGGCCCCAGCTATTCAAAGTGTGGTGTGTGGCTTCCATGCGTTTCACTGTGCACTGACCACATCTCCAGGGCTCAACAGTCACATGTGGTGAGAGGCTTCTGTGTGGGACAGCATGGCTTGGAGCTTTGTTAAGTATCCCTGAAAACTCAATCTACCCCTTCAGCAGCAGCATCTGAACCAGGAACTCATCATCTTTTTGGGGTCACTGACTCTTTGAGGATTTGATGAAAGCTATGATACAGGCATAACATTTTACACTGAAGTTCAGGGGATTCACGGATACTGAAGGTCATCCATAAACTACTGTCTCCTTGCCCCAAAGACGAGTGAAGATTCTGATTATAAAGAATGTAGCTTTTCCTCTAAATTCATATTCTCATTACCTAATATGTCTTTACCGTTTCAGCTACTTTCCCTTCTAACTGCACCCATCTCCTTACATTCTACTTTATGTTACCAGATTAAAAGAATGTTCACTCAAATATCTTCTCAAAGCAGATTTGTGTGAAAGTCTAATAGAAAAGAAAGAAGTTGGTGATGTGGTGTGTACGATTTATACTGAAGCCTCTAAACGCACTCTCCTCTTGAGGCCTGGCATTTGCGAAGTGGGATGGCTATGTTAAAATCCATTAGCAGCACGTCCAGCTTTCCAGGTAACTTGTCAAAGAATCTCTCTACATGGGAACTGCCTCAAACAGTGTAAGAGCACAGGAAGTGCCTTATTTTCAAACAAAGACAATTGTGGAGAAATCCATAGGGTATTGTAAAATTTTGAGGATCTCTCAGGGGTTCAAAACATTGGATTTTTAGTGTCTTGTTTTTGTTTTGGAATGTTTAATACTGAAATTTTATGTTAAATCATATGTGATTTGCTATTTTGTTCTAAGAAGAAAATTCTTTCCACTCTTACTGACTTTATTGATTGCTCTTAATTTTATGAAAGAGCTGCAGTGAATCTTGCCTGAAAAAAAACTGTAAAGTCTCAAATTAAATGACATATTAAATGAGGACTCAAAACCATTGAGAAAAAAACAGGACTTAGGAGCTACTGACTGCAATAGACCACCTATCTATGGAGTTTCAAAGGGCTGCTGGCTCACCCACTCTTCTTTTCCTTTTTGGTCATAACAAAAAGAACAGATGGAAATGTTAAGCTTAACTCCTCAGGACTTGGACATGTCTTATTTGGTTTGTTGAAACTAGGATCTGCAGAGTTTTTCTTTCTTTTTTTTTTTGGTAATAATGAATGATGACAAGAAGAGGTGCTGGCTGGAAGGTCTGTTTCACCAAGGTGTACATCTACCATCCTTGACAGGTGAGGCCTGCTGCTTATGGGGTTTGTAAGCATATTAAAAACAGTGAAGTAAGGCAGGGCTTGGTAGCTCACACCTCTAATCCCAGCACTTTGAGAGGCCAAGGCAGGTGGATCAAGAGGTCAGGAGATCAAGACCATCCTGACCAACCTGGTGATTGGGAGGTCGAGGTGGGGCAATCAGGAGATCAAGACCATCCTGGCCAACATGTTGAAACCCCGTCTCTACTAAAATTACAAAAATTAGCTGAGTGTGGTGGCACACACCTGTAATCCCAGCTACTCAGTGGCCTGAGGCAGGAGAATCACTTGAACCCAGGAGGTGGAGATTGCAGTAAGCCAAGATCACGCCACTGTACTCCAGCCTGGTGACAGAGGGAGACTCTGTCTCAAAAAAAAAGGAATCTTACAGCTTCTGAAAAGCTAACTCTTTTAACTGCTTACACTCTATCTGTATCTTTGGCGGATCTTTGGTACTGCTACTCATTAACACCAGTATTCCATATTAGTCATACAACCCAAATGCCATTTCTAAATAGGAAAAATGAAACAAATGAGAATGTTTGCTTTGAACTGCACTGGGACCAGTCAACATGAGGGATGGTCTCTGAACAAGCCTCACCTCTAGGGCCCCACGTGAATCCAGGGGAATAACCGTGGGAACACCCAAACTTATCTCAGTTGTCCTGGAGGACTACAGGAAGGGCCTTTTTTAAAGGAAATTAAATTAATTGGGTCTGAAAAGCTAAAAGTCTCATTCAAAAAATAATGTCATTTATGACTTCAGCTCTATCATAAAAAGTTTCCATTTTTCCAGCAATCTCATTTTTAAAAAACTAAGCATCAATATGCTGCTAATTTTTTCTAATATGATGTTATAGGAGAAAAAAAGATCAGCAGTCCAAGACTGCAAAGGAGTCTGATAACAATGGGTAGTACTACCGGTGTGCTGTTGATCAAGTGCTTCCCTTTTTTTTTACTTTTGTTTTCTTTTTGTCTTTTGTGCTCCCCTTTTTTTAAAGTCTTGTTAATGTTACTGATATCTGAAAACAAAACATTTTCTTCACATTCTGGATGTAGAATTCTTTATGATGGTATTTTCACGGAAAATCTGCTAGTTTATGTGACTTTCCTTATGATAAACAGGACAATCTAAAGCAAGTTAATGTTCTCATGTGACAGTTGGGCTTGTGCAGAATTACCTCACTGTGGGAGCCGTGATGCCACCAATAAAGAGAATTCTACCCCAACTTAATGGATGACTTGCTTGGAACACAAAGATATGCTTCAAGAAGAAGGTATTCAATTCAGTCAGCTGAAAAAGACAGAGAAATTAGTCAACTTGGTACCTCATGCTAATTCAAAATCCTATAGTCCTTAAATAGACATTCTACAATTAAAAATAATTGGTATGTTCAATGCATTTTCAGAGAATAGATGTGATCATCCAAGGATCGCTATTCGAACTAGTTAACAGCCAGTACAATATAGGCAGGGAACAATGGGAGCACAGGATATCAGCTATTTGTCATGTTTCCTGATTGTTACTCGGCTCCCATGTGTGATTCACTGAGCTAGTCAGGAGAGAAATGCTTTGAGCACACAGAAGTCATGAAAGCAAACCTGTGGCATGGAACAACTATGCTGCCTTACAGAAGTCAGGCCAGGTCTAAGAGAATTCCAACTGTAGATAAGTAAGCTCTCTAACAATCAAAAGAAACTCGAGGCCAGGTGCGGTGGCTCACACCTATAATCCCAGCACTTTGGGAGGCTGAAGTGGGCGGATCACCTGAGGTCAGGAGTTCGAGACCAGCCTGGCCAACAGAGTAAGATCCCGTCTCTACTAAAAATACAAAAATTAGCCAGGCATGGTGGTGGGTGCCTGTAATCCCAGCTCCTCAGGAGGCTGAGACAGGAGAATCGCCTGAACCTGGGAGGCAGAGGTTGCAGGTTGTAGTGAGCCAAGATTGTACCATTGCACTTCCATTTGGGTGACAAGAGTGAAACTCTGTCTCAAAAAGAAACAAAACAAAACAAAACACATCTGAGAGATGACGATGGACTCGTGTAGCACACTCCTGGGACAGAGCAGATCCTCCACCAAAGGCAGTCCTTAAAAGTGGGTGTGAAGTGTTGGTCCAAGTTTCAGCTGAAAGCAGTAGTACTTTTCCCTGAGGTTAGCATCCTCATGCAGTTCATCAAGATGAGTCCTTGGCAGCACAAAATATCCTGTGGTTGGAACGCGGCTGCTCTCTGCCTGGAGCGTGGCTCCAGATAGCAAACAAGGGGTAGAGACTACGGAAAGGTCACTGTGCTTAGAGAACACAGTACATGGACTGGCAGGTTCATTTCAATTACACAAAATGCATGTTGTTTTCCTATAGCATCGACTTCAAGGACACAAAATAAAAAGTAGTCTACTAATTAATATCACATATAGAGAGCTGATCCCAGTGCAATGCTCACACTCATGGGAACAGTGTGCTCCATGGCATACCACCAGGTGGTTCCATCCTAGCGGTACTATACTACTCTCCCTGACAAATCCAATCATCCCTCCTTCTAAGGAAAGAAAGCTTCTGCTGTCCATGACATTGTGCCTGATAAGGCAAAGCTTAATGCCAATCCATCTACAGTCCTGTTTTTAAAGATACTGACCTCTCCACACCATGGTGATTACTTAACTATTCACACACACACTTCTGTTGCATAAACTCCATTTATTAAGATGGGCATTGTTAATTCTGTGTGAAAGAGGAAGATAGTATGTCCTAAAAGTGACATCTGCTAATTTTTTCCTTATGTTGGGAGTATTTTGTGTTTATGTGTCCAAACATAATTTCTGATGATTCTGAAATATCCTTCAGGCAAAAGCTGATTTCCCTTTGGCAAGTCTCCAAAAGCTGTGAAACAACCTGGGGCCAGGAGCATCAAAAACAATCGCTATCTCTCAAAAACACAGATGCTTGATAAGCTTTTGCCAAGACGCTGGGCTGCTGGAATCACTTCCGTCGTGAAGTGGGCCGCTTGGAAATACAGCTTCTCTCCACGAGGACAACACTCTGGAGGACTCAGCAAAAGGCTCCAATTCCCCAGCACTCATTTAGCATGCCACAGATTACCCGAAGTGGTAACAGCTGAGGGACAATTGTAACCAATACACACTGAATTAGGAATGTAGGAAAAACCTTATTTGTTCCTTTGGTCTTGAAAATGATTATTCCGAAAAGCGATCCAAATGCCTAACTCATTGGATGATGAATACTAGACACACACATTTTTTCACGGAGTCTGATCTTTTTCTAATTTGTAATTCAAAGATCCATATTTTAAAAGTGTCTTCACAACAAAGCAAGACCTTGGGCATAATAATATCACTTTGCTTAATTATTCTACATGCCAGCTGCAGAATATTATATCTTATAAAGTATGGAGCTGGAAAGCAATGTAAACTAACGCTAACTCTAAATTCCTAAAAAAAAATTTATTATAGTTTTGTTTTTTTCCCCAACTTCTGGGCATCTGAAAAAATACCTGCCAGATGATCATGAAAAGGTATACTCCAGCTACTCTCTGAAAAGAAGATTTGGGGTCAAACCATCGAACATAGGTCCAGCTAGCAGGAGTGAACTGCAGCACCGCTCTCTTGATCTTCCCGGTGGTGGTATGAATGTCCCTGAAGAAGAGAACGGCTCCAGTGAAAATCCAGAGATAAGGCAGTGGGGAGAAACAAAGCACAAGGAAAAGACCCTGCGCATGGATGATTGTCATAACAAATGCTAAAACAAAGAGACTGCTTTTTTTTGAATTGTCTCTCAAAGGTCTTCTCTACTTCTATAGGTAAAGGTGACAGCAGCACACTCAGAGGGGAATTTCATTCATGACAGGCACAGGGCAGCAAGGAGACTGTTCTCACCCACTGCTTGTCTCCCAGGTAAAACTGTACACATTCCATATTCTTGGATCGCCCACATCATTCCTTTACCCTGTTTCTTCCCCAGAGTAGTGAACAGTTTGGGTTGATGAACAGTGGTATTTAACCTTTCTTAATTTTAATCCTTGAAATCACTCAATTAAAAGTTTCATATACCCATGAAAGAACCAAACAGTCCCCCAGTTTACAAGTGAGGACATGAAGACTCAGGGACAGCAAGTGGCTGACAGTCAGCAACAGGGGTGGGCGTCGATTCCAGCCCTTCCTGTACTAGTCCAGGAGAGCCAAACCCCACGGTATAATAAATATTATTTAATAACTGGAAAAGAGTCTTTAATTCTACAAATATTTATGTCATGAACTTTTATGTCTCCACAACATTGTGCTAACTACTTGAAAGCACAAGCACCAAGTAATCAGGCCTTCTGTTCTAGTGAGAGGGAGCAGGGAGAGCGACAGGAAACCAGCGCTGTTCCTTCATCCACCCACCAACTTGCCAACAAATTCGTTCTGAGAAAACATCACAGCAAGAAGATCTGCGGCACAATGGCAGCGAAAAATAGAGACTATCCAAAAATAAACAAGAACGACAAAAGACTTGTATTGTAAAAATAGCAAAGTGCAGGGAAAGACCGAGAAGAAAATGGGAATAAATAGAGATACAGCAATGATCAAGAATCAGGATATTTAATACAGAAAAGAGGTTAATTCAATTTAATCTGTATTCATTTATACATTTAATATTACTTTAAAAAACACAATAGGATTTTGTTGTTGTTATTAGTTGGGCTTATTTCTTGGGAACTGGACAAAATGATTCTGAAGTCAATATTTTGAGAATAAGCATAAGAAAACACGAAGTATATTGTAGCAGTGTTTAAGAAGGCAGACATTCTGAGGCTGGGCGTAGTGGCTCACGCCTCTAATCCCAGCACTTTGGGAGGCTGAGGCCGGCAGATCACTTAAGATCAGGAGTTCGAGATCAGCCTGGCCAACACAGCAAAAACACATCTCTACTAAAAATACAAAAATAAGCCAGGTGTGGTGGCGGGTGCCTGCAGCCCCAGCTACTCCGGAGGCCGAGGCAGGAGAATCGCTTGAACCTGGGAGGCAGAGGTAGCAGTGAGCCGAGATCATGCCACTGCACTCCAGCCTGGGCAACAGAGCGAGACTCTGTCTCAAAAACAACAACAACAACAACAAAGACAGGGGACATCCTGGTGCAAATTCAGACAGCTGCTTGCTAGCTGTGTGTCGTTAGGCAAATTACTACACCTAAGCCTCAGTATCACATCATTCCTAAGATAAAGAGAATAACAGTGTCTACCCTCAGAACTGACATAAGGCTCAAATGAGATACTGCTTGTGAAGCTTGGTTGGAGCAATACTTGAAGCATGGCTACCATTTTTGTTAGGTTAAATACTGCCTTAAGTATATTAAAAAGTGGCTGGGTGCGGTGGCTTATGGCTATAATCCCAGCACTTTGGGAGGATGAGGCAGGCAGATCACCTGAGGTCAGAAGTTCGAGACCAGCCTGGCCAACATGGAAAAACCCTGCCTCTACTAACAATACAAAAATTAGCTTGGCATGGTAGTGCCAGTTGGGGATTATAGGCACTGGGGAGGCTGACGCAGGAGAATCGCTTAAACCTGTGAAGTGGAGGTTGCAGTGAGCCAAGATTGCACCATTATACTCCAGACTGGGTGACAGAGTAAGACTCCAACTCAAAAAAATAAACAAATAAAAATTAGAATTAAAATTAAATATATTAAAAAGTATCCTTGCAAGTCAGTGGCCAAAGAAAGGTTTATTAATAAATAGGAAGGGAAAAACTGTTAAATTAATGGCAAAAACATTGTGAAATCTCACCCTCACATCATATACCAAAATAAATTTGAGACAGATTAAATACTTAAAACAAGTAAAACCATTAAAGAACTAGAAGAAAATACTGGTTAATATTTGCCTAAACAAGAAGATTAACATTATTTTTGATGTTTAAATAAAAAATCCACCTCAGACTAGTTTAAAAGGGGATGACAGGCTGGGCATGGTGGCTCATGCCTGTAATCCCAACACTTTGAGATGCCAGGGCGGGTGACCAACTGAGGTCAGGAGTTAAGAGACCAGTCTGGCAAACATGGTGAAATCCCCTCTCTATTAAAAACACAAAAATTGTCCAGGCGTGGTGGCATGTGTCTGAAGTCCCAGCTATTTGGGAGACTGAGGCAGGAAAATTGTTTGAACCTGGGAGGTAGGGGCTTCAGTGAGCTGAGACTGCACCACTGTACTACAGCCTGGGTTACAGAACAAGACTCCATCTCAGAAAAACAAACAAAAAAAAGGGGATGACAAAATGGAAAATAAAGTCACATTCATGGCAAAGTGTTAGTAAGCTTATAGGAAGCACAAATAAAAGAGGAAAATCCAATAGAAATAGATAGAAATCCAGTATCACACCATTTCATGTGATAAATTCGACAAAGGTCTAACAATACAGTTTAAGTAAATAGTGAAATGGATACACACATATATGAGGTGTGTTATAGGTGAGATTACAAATTGGTACACTCTATTTCTAAGAATTTATTTATTAAAAAACGACAATGCACACAGAGATGCACACTAAGATGGATGTCCAACAAAAGCAAAAACTCTGAAACAACTAAACCACCATGCAATGGAACTGGCTAAATACTACATGGTTTATCCATATGTTGAAGTACAAAGAAGTCCAATCATGTTTTAGAAGAGCACTTAATGATGTGGGAAAATGCTATTTCGTTATATAAACAAAGTTTTAAACACAACTGAAGCAACCACAACTTTCATTAACACTACCATTGTTCTTTTCTTCCTCATCAATGGCATGATTCCTGCTGCAAACTGAGAAGCAAGTTTAAAGGAGCAGGATAAAGCAATGCCAGCTGCGTGACTGTCCTCCACTGGAAGCACAGTGGGGTGTGCAACTTAAAACTAGTCAGAGAACTTCCTGGATGACAAGTGAGCTGAGTCAGCAAAAAAAAGGATGATCAGGTGGGTCTATGGGTACACAGGCCAAATCCCAGGGTAAAGAGGGGAGTGTGTGCATAAACAGACCCTGGGGTGCCTGGGAGGGTATAGAGAAAGGATTTCCCTACTAAGGCAATTGATGTACATCCTAAAGACCATGAGAAGCCATCACAGGGGAATGACATGATGAATCCGATGTTCTTAAAAAGCTCACTCAAGTAATGGTGTGGGAATGACTGGAGAACTTAACCTGGAAACAGAGATGAATTAATCCAGGGATGGGAGTCTAAATGCAGGCTGAAGCAGTCGGGATGAAAAAGGGGATGGATTTGAGAAATCTTTTAAATCAAGAGGGTGGTGTTAGAACCACCTGAATACCTGGGATGAGAAAGAAAAAAATCATAAATGATTGAGCATTATCTGGACAAATGCTTGAAATCAGGTTTATAATCATTTATGAGTTTCAGTTATTAAATGGAATTTATTCCTTATCATCAAAGACCTCGCTAAAATTGATTCCTACCAAAACAGTTAAACATATATCATGAAAACCTGTGATTAATATTTGAAAAGAAGGCAACTCACTTGAAGCTTGCCCAGTGGTAAGTCCTCATCTCTAAAAACCGGCAAACAACCATGCCCAGCCAAATGCCACCGCCGTTGCACAGCAGGATGTCCAGAATGACTTGGTCCCACCAGCACTCCGCAAAATTGGGGAGGAGATGCATGAAGAAGAGCTGAGAAACACAAGAGCCCAGGTTGGATAAACAAACAAAACTGGGATGCCATGCAGACAGATACATTTCCTTTTTAATAATACATATTTTAGAAAAAGTATTTGACATTTCATTTTTTCCTACTGTACAGAAAAAAAACAGGAACAGGTTCTGCAGTCTGTTTCTTGTTTTTTTTTTTATATATTGTGGATGGCTTGTAAACAAACAGCACATATCTAAACAGCTCTTCTCTTTTTGACACAGGGCTTTAAAGAAAGGAGGGTCTCCTTGAAAAGTACTACCAATTAATTACCTTGGCTAATGACAACATGACAAGGATCTGGGAGGGGAAAAGGAGAAAATTTTCCAAGCTGACAACAAAGCATTGGCATAATTCTCAAAATTAGCAGCTTGAGAATTCAAGTTGTACATTTCAAAAATATCCCCTAGATATTTAGGTAAAACAGTGAATACATTGTAAAAGAATAGTTAGCTTTTGATGACATGATGTAGGAAGCATGGCAGCTTAATAGGAAATCTCACACCAACTGATTCACAATAATGACAATCTTTTATTAAGTGCCCATGATGTGCAAGGTGGTGAGAAAAAAGAAAGTCAAGGGTCTTGATTTCAAGGGGACGAGTCAGATGTTGTGTTTTTTTGTTTTTTTCTGAGACGGAGTCTTGCTCTGTTGCCCAGGTTGGAGTGCAGTGGCACAATCTTGGCTCGCTGCAACCTCTGCCTCCCGGATTCAAGCAATTCTCCTGCCTCAACCTCCCAAGCAACTGGGATTACAGACATGCGCCACCACGCCTGGCTAATATTTGTATTTTCAGTTGAGCTGGGGTTTCACCACATTGGCCCAGGCTGGTCCTGAACTCCTGATCTCATGGCCCGCCTGCCTTGGACTCCCAAAGTGCTGGGATCAGATGTCTAACCAGATAACCAGAATCAGAAAATATGGTAGACTGAGGAAAGTCTGACAATGGTGACATTAATGGAGTATGGTGGAAACAAAACATTCATTCTGACTGAGGCTGAAAGTTCCTTCAGCTTATGCAGCTTTCCTGGAGAGGCTTCTGCAAGAAAGACATATTGGAGGGGGAACATTAAGGACAAGAATGACTGATTTCATGAGATGAAGATGAAGATGTGGGAGTTCCAGGAAAGGGGAACAGTAAGATCATGGGTGGAACAGAATTCCCCCGGCGATCAATTTGTCCAAAACCAGGGGCATTGTCTGCTGTATTCAGAATAGCATGCCCTGCCACGTGGAGGCCCAATGTGAGAAGGTGAAATTACTAAGACAATACCTGTGAGTTGTCTGGAAAGAGACAAGCCTATAATTACAAAACTTTGAAGTAATACCGCAAAGATAAAACGTATTCATGAAAGCATTTTGAAAGCTATAAACGATATATACATATGAGGAACATTTTGTTCTCAATGAACCTGCTGCCAAGAAGCTACAGAGTAGCTGCTGCATGTGATGGCTTGTGGCTACATTCTTAACATGGTGCTACCCTTGAAGTGTACTCCCAGGTTCCAAGCCACGAGATGCAGCCTTAACTCTTGCCCTTAAAGAGAGAAGAGAGAAACTTCAGCAGAAGTCAATGACACATATTTGCTGCAACAAAACTATACAAGAGAGTGGGATGTGGAGAACATCCTCCAGCCTAAGGAACTTTCCAGGAAGGTACCAGGTTCTGGAGATGAGATGGGTCCCCGACAGACCCAAGCCCAAGGAGGAGGGGGCTGTATTCCTCCATTCACTGAAGATTTATGGAGCATCTGCCGTGTGTAAGGCAAAGTCCTTGGGTCTGGGAATACACAGGCATGGGCCCTACCCTGTTGAGGCACAAAGTTTAGCAGAAAAGAGACACTTAGAGAGTGTCTAACATATGAGGAGCATTTCAAAGGAGAATGGCGAGGTGTTCTATTTCCAGCTGTATAAAGATGGAGCACAGCTAACGGAGAGGCAGGGATAGCCTTCCGGAGCTGAGCTCTGGAGACAGCTTGTTAGCAGGTGAAGGGCAAGAAGAGAGGGAAGAGCAGTGGGGAGGACTCTGTGGTGAGGAAGACAGCAGAGGCAGCTGGAGCACTAAGGGCAAAAGAGAGGCACGATGAGGCTGAGGCTGCAGACAAGGGCCAGTGAACCTGGAGCCTCGTAAGCAGGGTGGGAAGTTTGGATTCTGTTTTAAAAGTAATGGAGGCCTGCTGTGGTGGCTCATGCCTGTAATGCAAGCACTTTGGGAGGCTGAGGCGGGTGGATCACCTGAGGTTGGGAGGTCGAGACCAGCCTAACACGGAGAAACCGTCTGGGTAAACCCCATGCCCTCCTTCTTACCTCAGTCAGCTCCCAGGTAATACTGATTGTCCAGCAGAGACCGTAACTACGGATCAGCAAGGCCTTCATGGCCCAGCCCCAGAAATGTCCAAATGCAAATATATCAAAGTGGCTGATAATCCTCTCCCAGGTGATCACATGGCAGTTCACAGCATACTCCTGTTTAAAGAAAAAAAGAGAATAATTAATGAAACTCTAGAAATCAACTTGCTTCCAGGATTCTGCCAGTAAATGAAAAGAACAGATATGACCTTGACAACTAATATTATGTCCCTGCTCAATAAAAAAAGAGAAAGTATTAATAACTTAAGAATCTTGAAGGAAAAGGGACAAGTATTTGAGTTTATAAATCAGAACTGCTTTGCTCTGAATTGCAAAAGCTGGATTAAAATGAGAAGTAAGATAATTTTACAAAGTCTCAACATATCTTAAAGAAGTAATATGACGTAGATCATGTCATCCAACCATAGGGCAATGACATTAAAGCCAGTAACAGAAGCATAAATAAAAGATTCCCAATAGATTTGGCAATTTAAAGACACATTTCTAAATGTCATGGATTAAAGAAGAAATCCTAATAGAAATTTTTTTAATGTGCCATAATGAGGATAATGAAAATACACCATGTAAAAACTGAAGTTAGAGGAAAATGCAAAGCTTTACATAGTTCTACTAGAAAAAAGTAGAAAAGCACCTAACTTCAGTGATTAAAAGACAACAGAACTCCCCTCCACCAAAATATATCGGACGCTACGTGATTTAAATGTTAAAAATTACAGAAATGCCAGATACAGGTGACAGGGGGATGGAGACAGCAAACCACATTGCCATGTATGTACTTATGCATCAATCCTGCATGATCTGCACGTGTACCCCAGAACCTAAAGTACAATAAAAATAAATTAATAAATTAAAAAATAATAATAACTAAAGGAAAGCCAAGAAAGAAAAAAAATAGAGTGTGCTCTTATAGGGAAAAAAAAAATTACAGACCTTTTTAAGGATTTTTATTCCATTTCTATTATCTTAGTTTTTGATTATACATATTTCTAAGTAATTTAATATCAGATGACTACATGACAACATGATAATATTTATCAGGAATCTCTACATTTCACATCCTTTCTTCCCAAAATTAATCTGATAGGAAGTAGTAAGAGTTGGCAAATACTCACCCCCTATTATCAGCCAGCTGGAAAAATTTCTATAAACTCTAATAGTTTCAAATTCCAGAAACGACACTTTCTGACAGCAAAAGAACTGCCCTGTCTCTTCTGAAACCTACCACACATCAGATTTCCTTCTCAGATAAAATGCATTTCAACTTGCAAAGCTGAACAAACATTTTTAAGACTGCTATTTTTTGAGAAGCAGTATGATGTGAGATTATGCTGTGTAAATGGGAAATCTGGAGAAAAGAAGATAAAATTCAATAGGAATAAGTCGAGATAAAGCTTAAAAAAAAACAAACTGCCCTGCAATAAGATGAAAAGTCTCTTCTCAGACTCTGGCACAGCACGTTCTTGTCACAGAGAATCACAGGCTGACAGAGGGAAGTGCCCTTGGGCTGAAGCAGGTTTTTTATTATATTAAGGAGCAGGGCCGCGTCCCATCAACCTCAAATGTCTCAACCACCCCACCCTCTTCTTTGCTCTGCAATACACTGTGTAGAGTTAGATAAGGAACGGGTGAGATCTATTTTTGGAAGTCTGCTCTTAAAGTAATCACAGCTTGCAGATAATTTTGGAGGCCTTTATACTCTATTAAGTATTTCTATGCTTTGTATGTGGGAAGGCACTTTAAAAATCATAAAGACCAATGCATCTATTTGCAGTATAGTTAGTAATGGACAGATTGGCCAATTATCCCCTTTGCAAGACCTGAGGTCCTGGTCCTGGTAGGGCCACAGGGCACTGCAGTTTCAAGCAGAGAGCTGCATGCAGTCAGAACCCTGGGAACCAGGAGGAACAGGCTTTAACTGAAGACAGTGTAGAGATGAATCCTGGAAAGGGGGTCAAGTGGGCAGGTGTGTGCCCATGAGCAAAAGATGGGTAAAGATGGATTCTGCTGACCTCCCAACTGGTCCTAGGCTGATCCTGGCGGCCCTTCCCTCTGCCTCACTTGCTGGACACCTAACCAAATGCCAAGTCCTATTCACTTTACCTCCCCAGGTTGTTCTTTTATTCATCTCACTGACACTATTATTTCTAGCTTAGACTTCTGTAATAATAGCTTTTGAAAACTGTGGAATGTGTCAGCCATATAACAAAGTATAGATAATGCTATAATAAGCACCTGGGGTACTCACATCCAGCTTACGACTACAAAGAGATCTTGAAAATTATAATCAGATCATGGAATGTGCATGCATGTGTGTAAGCGTGTCTGGGGCAGTGGGATGAGGAAAAACAGGTTGGTTAGCATGCCCATCCCAATGTAGAAGGATCTCCACTACTGCACACGCCAGGTTTCCAGCACAACTCTCTGTTCACTCCTCTCTGGGGGAGTTGCTGACTTTGGAAGAAGAAAGAGCTCCAACCTCTTTTGGGTCCTCTTTGGAAATTATTTGCCTACAGATAGCACAGGTTCTCATCAGCTCCCTCAACCATGCAGCAATTTTTGTGGGTCAGGCCCTGCTTCATAGAAGCAGCTTGTGGTTGTCTAATGGGCTAGAGGAAGATAGGCTAGCTTAATTCAGCCCAGGTCTAAAGCCATCTGCTCCACTGAGCTTTTACAGGAAGAAATCAGCTGAGATTTTGAACTCTTGTTTTTGTTTCCAAACTCAGCTAGAAATGGAGGTATTATTGATTGACCTCCTGAAACATCAACACAGATCATGCGGCTCCCTCTGCTTATAAACCTTCCATGGCCTTTTCTTGCATTTAGAATAACACCCAAACTCCTCACCCCATCTGGCTCAGCCTCGGCAGCTTCCCTAGCCTCGGGCCCTCTGCCTCCTGTTCCCTACACTCCTGCCCCAGACTTGTCCCAACTCCCCACACCCTGATCAGGGCCTCCGCACAGACTGTCCCCTGTATAACGATTATGCTTCCTTGAATCTATCACATGCCTTTTTCATACTGTATTATTTTTTGAGAATTAGGGTGACTATTTCAATATATTATAATGTATAGCACTTTATAAAGTTTTTTTCCTCCAAAAAGTCATACCTATAATTGATGGTGCGTATTAAAATTGATGACCAATGAGGGAAATAGAAAAGTTCCTTTTTAATGCTTCCTTTCTTGTTAAAGAATAAGTGTGCCAATAACTTGGTTAAGCCCTATCCTATATAGCTGTAAAACATGCCATGCTTACAGGCACGTAGTACATTCAGTGCCCTTGTATTTTAACCAAGATATCTGTGCTGGACATGCTCATAGGCATGTCCCAGCTTGCCATTGCTTTTACCTGTTTAGAAAAGTTTTAAGTTATTAGCCAATCGGGTTTTAGTTTAAATTGTGAGGTCTGGCTCCAGCCAATGGAGATCAGACACAGCAGTAAGGATGACCCTAAATGTGTAAAGGATAAATTTGTGTGTTTTCCTTTGTTCACTGTACTCTCGTGGCACAATGGCTAGCGAGGGTACCCTTCCTGCAGACCAGGAAGTAAAAATTGCATTGCTGAAAGATCCTTTGTCTCAGTGCTGATTTTAATTTGCAGCACCAAGATTCTATTTCCAACAATCAATCTTTACATTATAAAAAGCCCCGAGCATCTATTTCCAACAACCAATCTTAACGTTATAAAAAGAGAGATCACCAGACATTGTGTGCCTCCTAGTGTGAAATGCAGCACCCGCTCTGAAGTGTCCCACTATAAAAACTTATCTGGAATCTAGAACTTCATCCAGCCCCTACACCTGAGTTTAGTTTATAGAAGACATAGGGGGAGAAAGAGAATATGTTAAATGATGACATTGCAAACGCAAGCTGCAAATCCAGATATGAAAAACTCTATAGAATAAGCAATGTGGTTTCTCTGACAAATCAACTTTCAGCAAACGATGAGGGGAATTACAGATGACAAGACATTTAAAAGACATCGAATGCAATGTGTAAACCTTGTCTGGATCCTACTTTGAATAAGTCAACTGTACAGATCATTTATGAGGCAATTGCAGAAATGTGAACACTCACTGCATACTGTTTACTGTTCAGTGGTTATGCTAAAAAAAAAAGAAAAAAGAAAAGCCATCTATTTTAGGTTTAATTTCTGAGAACTGTTTCAAAAGAATTCAGGATGTGGGGTGAAAAGGTGAAACAAGTTTGGGCCTGTGTCAATAATACTGATGCTGGGTAATGGGTACATGCGGTTATAGATTCTCTCTACTCTTGCATAGGTTTGAAGTTTTTCATAGTGAATTTCTAAAAACCTGTGGAAATTGTCTTAGGTTTAAAAGCCAACAACTATCTGCTTAATTTGCCTTCTTGTAGACTCTCAGCTCCCACCAGCATGGTGTCTTACACAGAGGAAAAGTGGCTGAGCGCGGTGGCTCCTGCCTATAATCCCAGAACTTTGGAATGGTGAGGCGGGCGGCTCACCTGAAGTCGGGAGTTTGAGACCAGCCTGGCCAACATGGTGAAACCTCGCTTCTACAAAAAAAAAAAAACAAAAAAACAAAAAAACAACGCAGAGGAAAGCTGGGTCGGCCAGGCATGGTGGCTTGCACCTGTAATCCCAGCATTTTGGGAGGCCAAGGCGACAGATCATGAGGTCAGGAGTTCGAGACCAGCCTGGCCAATACGGAGAAACCCCATTTCTACTAAAAGCTACTAGGGACGCTGAGGCAGGAGAATCGCTTGAACCCGGAAGGCGGAGGTTGCAGTGAGCTGAGATTGCACCACTGTGCTCTTGTTTCTGGGCAACAAGGGCGAAACTTTGCCTCAAAAAAAAAAAAAAAAAAAGAAAGAAAGAAAGAAAGAAAGAAAGAAAGAAAGAAACAAAGAAAAGCTGGGTCAGCATTTATTAACCAAAGAGTGCTGCTTCAAGACAGCCTAGTCTACAAACTTGTCTGAAGCTTAAACACATATTTTTGAATAAAATTAATATTTTAAAATGCAGCAACTTTTTAGACAATTACACAAAAAATCTGCCTTTAATAGGATTTCAGTGATTCCCCACTCCCAATTTATAATATTAATTTTTTTCTCTATCCCAGGCTGGAGTGCAGTGGCATGATCTCGGCTCACTGCAACCTCCACCTCCCAAGTCCTAGTTCAAGCAATTCTCCTGCCTCAGCCTCCCAAGTAGCTGGGATTACAGGAACGTGCCAACATACCCACTAATTTTTTGTATTTTTAGTAGAGATGGGGTTTCACCATGTTGGCCAGTCTGGTCTTGAACTCCTGACCTCATGATCCACCCGCCTTGGCCTCCCAAAGTGCTGGGATTATAGGTGTGAGCCACTGCTCCCGGCCTTAATAATATTAATTCTAAGGGAAAACAAAGTCTGAGTTTCATTTTATGATACCAGACATGGACCATGGTCCATCAAGATTAGGAATGGGTGGCAGCATGAAGGAATGGAGAGAGTAGGGACTCTGGGAAGCCAGGAATTACAGACCTGTTTAGTATAAAGAAAACACCAATGAATAGGTCCTTAGAATTGCAAAAGACAACTTTAAAGTATAAAGGGATGGGATTAGAGATAGAGAAGATGAGGCTGTTTAGCACTAGTTAGAACACTACAAGCTGAACGCAGCCTCCTGCTTTACTTTGGCAAGAAAGAATTAGCCGACATTTGACAACTAGAGTTTAAAATCCGGTTTCAGCTACTTGGGGGCTGTACCTGTGACATCTGGATGTCTCTGTGATGTCAAATTCCTAAGGAAGCCAGATGTCAAGAGCATTGTTATTCGATTCAACCTCTTCCAACTGGCTGTGAGAACCGGATCAACAGAGGCACATAAGCATGTCCACCTGCAGGTCAGTTTACTTTGCAACGTGACCACTTTTGCTCAAAAATGTAAGAAAGATGTTTGGGAGAATATTACATCTGGGATATCTTCCTCCCAATTTCTATTTCCTAAGGCTCCTGTGAGCATCAAAACACTTATTTTTATAACTATATACTAGAAGCACACTCCAAATGAACAGAACAAGTTTTGAAGCCAGAGAGATCCATCAGCTTGTGTTTTCAGTGAGATGCTGCATTTTAAGCTTCCATCTCCTCCTCTGTAAAATGGTGATATGAACATCCAGCATGCATTCATGAGGCTTATATAGAATATAAAGTGCCCTCCACAGTGTCCGACAAATAGACAATTCATCATCAATAACTGCCATTATCCTCATTATAACCGTCATCTGCATCATCATCATCATAGGCTAGGAAGTCAACCTCTGCCATTCTCTCCCTTAGAGTAAAAATATTCTGAAACAAATTTCCCCCCCGAGACTGATAAATAATTTCTGGCATTCCTATTTTTGCTTTAAGCATATCCCTTAAAAAATTTAAAGATAACAATCTTTAAATACCACTCCAAGAAGGATTTGACCAATGTCACTGTGAGGAAATGATTATTTCTTGGACTTTTTATTAAGTCCTTTTGTATTACTTCTTGTTTGTCAAAGCAAACTCATCTGTGGCCCAAATTCCTGTTCTCCTTTTCAGAAAGGAATTAACCTGTACCAAATGTTTGGATTAAAAAAAAAAAAAAGGAAACAAACACATTGTAGTATAAAATAGCGTGATATTGTGGTTCATAATAAATACATAATTTGGTCCTTGACCCCAGTTCCTGGCCCAGAGCGCCTAAAACCTTTGCAATTTCCTGAGCAATAGAGGTGCTAGGTGCATCTTTTGTTCTAATATCTGTTTTTTGACCCCAGCTACTGACACAGAGCTCCTAATCCTTGGAATTTCCTGGTGATAGGAGCATCTTTTGTTCTAATGAGGTGACTGATAAGTTCCTGGGTAGGGGCTGGTCATCAGAAAGACCAAGAAATGATTAGAAGCCTAGAACTTTCAGTCCTGCCCTCCATCCTCTGGGAAAGAGAGTACGACTGGTGACGGAATAAAAAATTGATCATGGGATGGTGCGGTGGCTCACGCCTGCAATCCCAGCACTTTGGGATGCCAAGGAGGGTGGATCACTTGAGGTCTGGAGTTTGAGATCAGCCTGGCCAACATGTTAAAACCCCATCTCTAAGAAAAATACAAAATTAGCCGGGCATGGTGGCGCATCCCTGTAATCCCAGTTCCTCAGGAGGCTGAGGCAGGAGAATCACTTGAGCCTGGTAGGCTGAGGTTGTAGTGAGCCAAGATTGCACCACTGTGCTCCAGCCTGGGCAATAGATAAAGTGCCATCTCGAAAAAAAAAAAAAAAAAAAATGGCCAGGCGCGGTGGCTCATGCCTGTAATCCCAGCACTCTGGGAAGCTGAGGGGAGCAGATCATTTGAGGTCAGGAGTTCAAGGCCAGTCTGGCCAACATGCTGAGACCCCATCTCTGCTAGAGATACAAAAATTAGCCAGGTGTAGTGGCGGGCACCTATAATCCCAGCTGTTTGGGTGGCTGAGGCAGGAGAATTGCTTGAACCTGGAAGAGGGAGGCTGCAGTGAGCCAAGATTGTGCCACTGTACTTCAGCCTGGTCGACAGAGTGAGACTCCGTCTCAAAAACAAACAAATAAAAAGATCGTGCCTATGTGATAAAGTCTCCGTAAAAATCTCTGAATTCTGGGGTTCAGAGAGTTTCCAGGTTAGTGAACACATCCACATGCTGGGAGGGTGGTGTACCCCAACTCCACAGAGACAGAGGCTTCTGCCCTCAGGACTCTGCTCGACCTTGCCTGAGCTACCTCTTCATCCAGCTGTTCACCTGCATCTTTTATCAAGTCCTTTACATAAGCTGGCAAACTTAAATATTTCCCTCAGTTCTGTGAGCCATCATAGTAAATGATCATGCACAAGGAAGATATTGCAGGAACCTGATTTGTAGCTGATGGGTCAGAAGCACAGGTGACACACTAGACTTGCGAGTGGCATCTGAAACGTGGGCAGTGGTGAGGGACTGTGCCCTTAACTAGGGGGATCTGATGCTAACTCCAGGTGTCAGGAAAGTTGGAGAACTAGCTGGTGTGGGGAAAACCCATTATAGAAGTGTTCACCATTGGTGAAGAGAAAAATAGTTGATTTTTCCCATAAAAGTAATCTCTTTAGTAAAAGCCAAAATAGAGTAGTTTTAGCCAAGAATAAAATCTTTTGTATGGTTTAATAAAAACATTAGTAACAAATGAAATGGCCTCTCTGTGGCAAGCAGTGGGGCAGGATTAAGGCATCCAGGCCACAGTGCAGGTGCTGAGGGTGATGCTGACGGGTGCAGGGGCAGCCGCCGTGACCCAGGGCCTGGCGTGTTGGGGGCACCATGTCAGACCTTGCAGTAGGCCTCACAGATGATGCTACTTTGTTCACTTCACAATAAGCCCCAAGTAAGAATTACTATTTTCAACTTACAAAAAAAGGGAATAATCTAACAAATACTTTGCCGAAAGTCCCACAACCAAGTAACAGAGGCAGAATTCACACCCAAGGCTGTCTGATGATCACGTGTGTATACTTCCTCACAGACCCCTCTGCGGAATGAGAGGATTTCCTTTCCCTGGACTCTATTACTTGTGGACAGCCATGCAACTCAACAACCCTCCCAGAGACCTGGTGTTTAGGTATTTACACAGGAAGTATAGAGAAGGAACAATTTAAAATGTGAAGTCTACTACCTCTTACACCCAAGAAAGAGTCTACCAGTTTCTCCAAGAGGCCCTGGCAAGTACATACCATGACATCAGCTTCTCTTGTGGCGTATCGGAGATTTGGATCTAGCCAATACATTAGAGATTTAACCTGCTCGAAATTCAGGAAGAGTAGGAATACCAGGAACAGGAAGTAGAGCACACTGAGTCCTGAGAGAAACAAAAACACGCTTAGGTTTAGAAGAGATCCAATTGTCAGACACACACGATACACATTACACTCGAATGGCGTTGTCAAAACCAGGCACTCAGATTGCAACACAGCCTGTTGAGACTCCTCTTGTAATCTGGGATTTCCTTTGATGAGGCAGTCTGATATAGTCCTCATTCAGATTGAGAAGGGTCAACAAAACCACCTCTGGGAAACTGATGCTCACTTAAACTGAGACTTGAAGGACTGCCAGGCAAAGGGTGTGTGGGGTAGGCATGAGGATCGCATGCAACATTCAGATAGAAAACAGCGTGCAGGTCGGTTTCTGAAGAGAAATGTCTAGGACCTAGTAGGTGGCTAGAGCACTGGCAGAGAGGGGAACGAGCAAGATGGCCCTGAAGGGACAGGGCTTAAAGGCCACAGCCAAGATTTCAGATTTGATTGTAAGTTAAGTGGGGAAACGAGATGATCTAGGTAATATTTTAAAAAGCCAACTAAGTGGACTGGAGGAGGGCAAGGCTGGCTGTGGACAGTACTACTGGCATAAGGTTCAAAAGGTGGCCCAGGGCCACTTATTCAAGACTTACACTCTAGCCCTTGTAGGCATTCTTTTATTGTTATATCATCTCATAACTGCTATCTTAATAATCACCCCATGTCATTTAAAAAAGAAATGTGAATAATGCACTTTCAGAAGGCAAAAGCCTGTCCAACACATTTTAGAAAGATTTCAGAACCGATCACCAGGGACTCTGTGGTTTCTCTTTCCGTTGAACCCGTTGGAATTAGAATGTTTATGCAGGACATTTAGAGACTGTGATACAAATGACCTTGGATCACAGCGCCCATCCAAACTTGGCTCAGCACTAATCTCCAGTGAGCCATTCCAGAGAAGAGCACGTCTGTGGCTGGAATGAAATCCACTGCAAGCACTATAGTGCCAAGCCTTCCAATGGGCACCCCTCTCCAGGCCTCAGGGAGCTCAAGGGAGGCCCAGGCGGTATGTGGCCAGCCCATAATTGTGAATCCTAGGGTCCAAAGAATACATAATTTTTAGGCAAGTTGATAGGAGAATTGCCTTCAGTTTAAGCTTATGCACCACCTATTTTTTCCAATTTTCACCACAAATGCCCCCCACTTGACTTTTTAATAATTATGATCCTCTTGAATAATTACATTAGGACAGAAAGAATCTGTGTTGCAGGGATTCTCAATCTGGAGTTCTTGGTTGGGCTTCGAGGTCTGTGAAGCCTGCATACTAGATGCAGAACTATGCATGGTGAATGTCCGTGGGTGCACACATTGGGAATGGGTCTATCTACAGTTCTCATTGGATTATCAAAGGGCTCCATGTTCCCAAAATGTTCTCAGGAAGGAAATAATGCTGCTTATTACCTACCATAGATCATTTGAAATAGGAAGAATTCAGATGTGTTCAGTTCACTGAAAATAACTTATTAACTTCAAACAGCACTATTAAATCAATGGGAGGTATGTTTGTTATAGCCAGGAATAACTTTTAAAAAATGTAAATGGAATTGGGTCACTCTGGGAAAAAAAACCCTCCCGTGATTTCCCCCTGCTCTTCATGCCCTGCTCTCTACCCTGGCCCACAGTCCCCATGATTCCATCTGTGCCCGATGACTCCGCGACCTCCCTCCTACTCTTCCCCTTGGGCTAACTACGCTTGCGCCTCACTGGCCTGGAACACACCAAGTGGTTTCTAGCTGTGGGCCATTATAGCAGCTTCTTCCCTTGCCTGGGATGCTTCCCTCCCCCAGAATCTGTGCAGACTTGGATCCTCCTTTGTGTGACAGTTTACGACTTGGCATCACTCCCTCAGGCCTCCCCTCACTCCTCAAGCCAAAGCACACACCCAGCTCCTGTTGCCTCCCCTCGTCTAAACTAGCTTCTGAATACTTCGCGATAGCTGATAATTTTCGATTACTGATTTGCGTAATAGTTTGTGTTACTAGCTGTCCTCTGTCTCCATGTGGAAGGGCAGTTCCTTGAGGGCAGGCTCCTGTCTGTCTGGTCCTCCCTGGTGGCCTCAGGGCCCAGAGCAGCACCTGTCACACAGCACACTCAGTGAATGGCTGCTGAGTGAAAAGTTCACCAATCAATTTAAAGAGATTATGAGTTACCTAGGAGCTCTGAAGGCTAAAAGAAAAATAGGCAGCCTTTTGCAAAATAGCAATTTCTTAGAGTTCTTGGACATTTTTATATAAGATTACATTTTCTAAACCTAAAATAATTCATTTGGTGACTTATTTAGGGAAGATGAAGCCAATATTCAAAGTTTTGAAGATTCATTTTAAATTTAGGCGATTTCACTATTTGGACTACAAAACCAAGTAAAAATAAGACATCTAATATTTATATGCTTATTTGTAACTCTTAGTTCAAATTAGGGCTCTTTATCAGAAGTCTTCTCTTTCCAAGTTCTTTCGCACTCATAACACTGAAGAAATTGAATTGCTTTGTTTTCATTCCCTCCCAGATGCTCCCAAGACAAATGTGCTCATAGTAGGCACTTGGGCTTGCACTAGTAAAAAGCAATATGAAAATGCATAAAGAAAAACAAGAGATATTTGTTTAAGTCAAATCCTGTGTACATTAAGACACAGCAGCTAAGGAGGCGTGTGGAGTTGAAACAGTTCACGTGTAAAAGAATTTAGGTCACTGTCAACACTTTATTCTGTGTCAAAGAATTTTAAGAAAACATCTATATTAGGAACATCAAAAAGCAAAAAGCTATAACAAAGTTTTAACTATTGAGAGTGGCAAGTAAAAGTCTTAAAGTGATAAACAGAAAAAAAGGTTAAAAAAACAGCACATCTTTTTACATTGCTAATGGAAACTTACCAAAAACCATTCGCCATAATGCTGGATGAGGTCGAGTGAATGGACCTGCAGATAAATAACATTATAAAGTTAGAATGAACAGGTTTCAGAGAAGGCTAAACTTAAGAAGGTACTGCTGATCTCCATGTAGATAACAATAAGAAAAAGCTCTCTACTGTTAAAACAGGTTTTTTGGGTTTTTGGGTTTTTTTTTTTTGCTACATAAACACTTTGAGGTCAAAGTTTCCTTGAAATGTTTTCGCTGCATTGTAATAACTGTCACCAAAATCATCACAGGCACCACTCTCCATAACAAATTTTTTTAAAGCTTTGTCTTGACAAGTCAGAACATAATTTCCCATGGAAACAATGTTGTAACAGTGAGTGGGTCACCGGGCTAGGCTTATGTGTAATACATATTGCACCTTAACAAGTAAAATGTCCCAGCTGCCCAAGAGCTCCAGGAAAAAAAGGTTCTAGACACTAGACAGTCACCATCGTGTGCATGCATTCGTGTGTGTGTGTGTGTGTGTGCATGTGTGTGTTGTGTGTGTGTGAGAGAGAGAATATGACTGAAAAATAAAAGAGGAGAAAAACACCTGTGGCTTTTGAATATGACCTATGCTGACACAACACTTCTGACATGGCAATCCAGTTCAGACACATGCAGATTCCACACAACGGAAACAAAAGTCTCATGGATACAACTTTCCCTTATGACAAGTGATACACCAATACTTTCTTTTTTCATTAAAAAGAAAAAGAAGAGGGAGAAGAAAGCAACTGGAGCCTTGACCTTACAACTCACAGCTATGGAAAAGCACCACTCCAGTGAGGACCTGTTCTGTGTGGGGCTGCCCAGGCCTTTTGAAGAGCCTTCCTAAACTTGCAGAATTCCCAACTTGCAGAATTCCCAATTAATGTCCCTGGGGACATGAATCCCATGTCCCCAGGAGAGACACCAGAGCTTGCTTCCCAGCCTTCTTTACAGGTAGGGCTGGGTCTGCAGTGGCACTCGTGCCAGGCTTGGCCTCAGGGGCTGGTGACAGCAAATGGGGTAGGCACAGCTCTCCTCTCTCTCTGTTTCTCTGGCACTGGCCAATAGGGGCAGTAGTCAGGCAGTGGCCATCCAAAGTGGCACTCCATTACAATCCATTGCAGAAGGGACATTGGGGCAGAGCATAGCCCACGTATGCTGGGGTTTCCTCCTTAGGACAGTTCCAGGGGTGGTGCCTGTTTCTGGAAGCTCTGGCGATGGCTGGTTTCCAAGCCAGCCTATGACACTGTGAGCCACTCCTAGTCTTTAACAGGCTCTTTAATGAGCAGAGTCAGCATCTGTTGCTTGTAATCTTGAATCCTATCTGAGGCAAACATTCCACTGTAATTTTTATTCTTGAATTCATTCTAAAATCGCTTATATATTCTTAAGAAGACCACATTGAATCATATATTTTTTTTGGTGCCGTGACTCGGATGAATCATATTTTAACTGCTTTCTTTTGATGAGTCAAGTTCTTATTACGAAAATCAGTTACAAGTACCCCTCACCATTCAAATCTATCAGTTCCTAGGTGGCAATTCAGATGGTGAGTTTGGTTCACGAGAGATTCTGCTTTACCCAAATGCATTTTGTTCCTGTGTTTTGGATGGCAGGTAGTTAGGGGTTTATTGAAAATTAATCGAAATCTGTTTGATTCTGAGTTCCAATAGTGAGGGCTCAGACAGTAAGGAATACTTGTATTCCTTCTCAAAATCAGCTGCTTCTTTCTCAGAAAGTCACAGGGAAGGTTATAAACCAGGATCCCGCCAGGTAATATGACACCATCACCTTTCATCAAGTCATTGGGAAACTCATGGCTAAAATTGTCATCTTTTAAGTTATTTTCATTTCCAAATGTTCCTCTTTACTGATGGTAGGGAATAGCTCTTGACTTGTCACCATAAGTGACTTCTGTATTTTGGTGGCTTCCTGGCTTGCAATATTACTTGATCTATACCATTAAATTAACCCTTTGGACATAAAATGGGATGCCAGTGTTTTGGATAGTTTCCTCTTACAAGGTTCAACTCTAAAACCGTTTGACCTATTATTTGGCTTGTGACAAAATCAGCACTTAAAAATCCTATAACATTATTCTCAAGAGCAGTCATAATGACAAGAGTCAGCAGTACTTTCCTGAGCACTTACTATGCACCAGGCCGTGGACTGAGATACCCCACACAGTGTCATGAGGACTCAGAGACAAAGATGTCACCATTATTCCCACTTTACAGATATAGATACTGAGGCACAGGAACCTGCCCTGGGTCATGCAGCTCATGAAGTCCTCCTTAGCTCTGTCACAGCCTCCTCTGTCACCAGGCTGAGTAGTGAGGAGCACCTGGGGACTTTCCTGTGAACTCTCACAGGACTGGGTCGGCTCAGGATGAGGAGAGGGTTGAAGAGGGTGTCTGAGGGTTGAGCCCAGACTGGCTTCAGGACCAGGAGAGCGAGGGGAAAGAAACAAGCTAGGGGTGTTTAGAGCTGATGCAATAGAAGGGAAAGGCATGACAGAGGCTTTGCCGTAATGTGGAACTGATAAGCAGGCTCAGGAAAAGCAAGCCAGGGAAAGGGCAGGGAACCCATGGCTCTAGAGATAAAAGCTGGGGACCACCCTGACCCAGGGAGGTGGGAATCACTGGTAACTTTTGCGTATGAAAGGTGAGATAAGGCCTGGAATGTAAGGTGACCCTTTCAGTAACTAACTTCAAAACCCAGTCTAGGTTTGATTTCAACCATCAAATCTGCCGCCCTGCAAGTGTGAAGCTTGTCATAACTGCCCATTGCCTCCTGAGAAGAAACTCTGAATTTTTTTAAAGTGGTATTTTAAAAAGTACATTTTAGTAGCATCATACACTGAGTGCCATCTTTACCATCAGACAGTAATATTGCTAAAAGTATCATTTTACTTTAAAAAAAAAATCAAGAGTGAGGCTGGCGTGTTATATATCAGATTATAAATCCTGATACTTATGCTCACTAGGTAACCTGCACCTGGCTACTCCAGTCAAGTCACCTTTGCAGAGCCTAAGGGTGTATGTGCCAGGGGTGGGGACGCAACAGAAAAGGAGCCCCGCCTTCCACAGCATCACTTGTGATGCTGTGAACGTTCATGTCATCTCAATGCCTTCCCCACAACTCTTATTTCCCAACAGACTATTGACTATTTTCTCAGTCTTGTAAAGGCAGGCTTCCTTTTCTTTGACTGTTGTTATGGTTCTGAAGTTATGAGAAGGGCTCCGCCTCATGGGTGCTCTCCACAGGAGTTTCTACTACTTATCTGTGCTTTATATCGGATTTGATAAAAGCTGCCTGGGAGAATTTGGATCTGCAGTTTGGTTACTCACTCTCTTGCTTGTGTTGGAGAATTGGGGAAGACTTCTTAGGGCAGAGGGGCAGCAACCAATGCTGGGTTTTGGTTTTCTGATGAGGCACACTTAAAAACTATGTGTTTTATTTTGTTTATCGTTCCTTCCATCTCAAATACATCATTTTTTTTTTAGATGGAATCTCACTCACTTAGTCACCCAAGCTGGAGTGCAATGGCACCATCTCAGCCCACTGAAGGCTTCATCTCCCAGATTCAAGCAATTCTCTTGCCTCAGCCTACCGAGTAGCTGGGATTACAGGCATGGGCCACCACACCCAGATGATTTTTCTATTTTTAGTAGAGACGAGGTTTCATCATGTTGGCCAGGCTGGTCTCAAACTCCTGACCTCAAGTGATCCACCCACCGTGATCCACCCACCTCAGCCTCCCAAAGTGCTGGGATTACAGGCATGAGCCACTACACCCAGCCTAGAATGCATCATTTTCAATCAGATATTAAGAGCAAGGTTAATTTCAAAAGAAATGGAAACCAAATGTCTTCATCATGAGAAGAGCTAGCATTTTGAAATCTACCTCAGAAATTAGAAAATAAGATCACTGTCTGACTCACCAGAAACAGTTATATCTATGAAAAATTAAGTTCACAGGACTTAACCTCAGGGAAATACAATCATTTTAATACAAATCAGACGTTGCCTGGCCAATAGCTAACATTTGTATCCTCAAGCCAGGGGCCCCCTGACAGACCCTCTTAGTCTGCTTCTCCTTTTGATTATTATTAGAGTTCTTCTAGGGAAATTTTAGAAGGTGGAAAAAAATGATCTCTAGGCAAATTTCAAACCTAAGGAAAAAAAAATTTTTTTTTTTTTTTAGATGGAATCTTGCTCTGACCCCCAAGCTGGAGTGCAGTGGTGCAATTGAGGCTCACTGCAACCTCCGCCTTCCTTCCTCACCGAAACCTCCACCAAGTGATTCTCCTGCCTCAGCCTGCTGAGTAGCTGGGATTATAGGCATATGCCACCCCATTCAGTTAATTTTTGTATTTTTGGTAGAGATGAGGTTTCACCATGTTGGCAAAGCTGGTCTTGAACTCCTGGCCTGAAGTGATCCACTTGCCTTGGCCTCCCAAAGTGCTGAGATTACAGGCGTGCACCGATGTGCCCAGCTGGAAATTTTTTTTTTTTTTACAAAAAGTAGTGAAGCAGGGGACACACGATGGAAGGAGAAACGAACTTTTTTTTTTTTTTTTTAAATTTAGAAGATGGTGAACCTTTTGGATCACTTTCAAACGTCAAGGAGACATGATTACCATTATCTTAGCTCAGAGATGTCAAATGACATAGAAGGACAAACAATGACAAACTCAGAAAGAATAAGAAATACTAATTTTTCACTCTCCTCATAAGACCTTAAACAAGTACTGAGTACAGCCAGGTGTGGTGGCACACACCTGTAATCTCAGCACTTTGGAAGCGGAGGCAAGTGTATCACCTGAGGTCAGGAATTCGAGACCAGCCTGGCCAACATGGTGAAACCCCATCTCTACTAAAATTTTTTTAAAAATTAGATGGGTGTGATGGTGGGTGCCCGTAATCCCAGCTACTTGGAAGGCTGAGGCACAAGAATCCCTTGAGCCCAGGAGGTGAAGGGTGGGAGGGTGCAAGCCGAGATCGAGCCGCTGCACTCCAGCCTGGG